CGCGACGCCGGGTAAGCGGCGTCGGCGGGCGCCCCAAAGAAAGCCTACTCGCAGGCGCGTCTCGCGGTGTGAGGCGCGGCGTCGAGGCTCAGAAAGGCCGCTTCCCTCTGGCGACGCCTCGGCTGCAACGTAGATTCCGAAGAGGGGCGTGGGCGGGGCGGTTGACTGGTGCGCCGGTGCGAGCGGCGCGGCGTCAGGAGAGACGAGCTCGGCTGCCGCGCCTATCGTGGCCGTCGTCGCGAGGTATTGTGAGGGTGGTGCCGCGGTGTGCTGCCCGGCAGCAAGGTGCCTCCTCCCAAGCGGGCAGGCTCGCCGCATGCCGCGATCCGCGCGACGTCGGAGGGGAGGGGGCGGAGCGGCGGCGTCGGCTGCGCCCAGGTGAGGACGCCGTCGGTGCGACGCAGCCAGCGCAGCCGCACCGCCGGGTTGCGGTTGTCGCGAATCACAAGCCAGCCGTCGTTTGCGTCGAGCACGGTGAGAGCGGGACCGGCGGCGGCGAGGGTGGAGCGCGCAGCGGCAGAGAGATCGCTCAGCTGTGGCGGCGGCAGCGGCGCCGGCGCCGCCGCAGCCACTGGCCGGATCGTCCCGTCCGGCGCGAGTCTGTGACCAGAGGCTGAGGAGGTCGCGACTGGCAGGACGAGGCCGTCGTCATCGCTTGGGAAATCCTCACCGCAGCACTCTCCAAAGCAGGAAAGCATGGTGCGGCCGATGGCCTCCGCGCCGTCGCACGCGGCGCTCGCCACGGCGGCGGACAGCGGCCGCGCCGCCGGCGAATCCTCAGCCTCCGATTCGCAGGACTGTGGAAGCTCGCCGCCGCTCGACTCTACTGCTTGCGAGATGGGCGGGCGAGGCCGCTTGCGCGTGCCCCCCTGAGCGAGCAGCGGCCGCTTCTCGATGGCGAACACTGGCTCCTAGCTAGTTTAGCAAGAAATTCCGTGCCGAGGTTCTCGAGGTGGATATCCTTTGGCCGTTGGGTAGCACGACGGCTGTATGACAGCCATCATGCGGCCGGGTGTATGGCCGGGACACAGCCATCGCAGCCATCGGCCGGAGGATGGCTGCACTGGCTGGAAGGCGATCTCTTTGCCATTCTCGGCAAGCTCTCCCTCTCCCCCCCCCTCTCTCTCTGACCTGGCCGACGATGCCATGCGGCACTGAGCGCGCGGGCGCGTCGCCGCGGGCCTTGAAGGCGAGGTCAAGGCGGTGCTGGGGTCCAGAGATGCGGCCATAGACGTAGTTGCCGTGGACGGTCAGCGTCCAGTTCCCGACGGTGAAGGACGCGCCCGAAAAGGTGGTCTTGACGGTCAGCCCTCCGCAGACCTTCTTGGGGCTGCCGAGCCCGCGCGTGAAGTTTGCGCCGCCGCAGCTGCCCTGGACGAACGCCCACGCCAATTCTCTCGCAGCGACCTTCCAATGCCACCTCGCGTTCTTCCCACTCTCGTCGTTCTCTCTTCTGCTGTTTCATCCTCTGCCTCCTCGCTCTCCTCAGCCTCGTTCTGAGACGCCCCGGGGGGGGGCGGGATGGCCGTGCTGCAGATTTGTTTTCTTGTGAGTCTCGACGAGGGAACCGCGTCGCTCTCCTCAGGGCAAGAAGCGGGTCGAGGTGACGTACTACTTGATCCTCTGGAAGGGGTACCCGCCCGACGTGTCGACGTGGGAGCCAGAGTCACAGATTCACGACGACTTGATCGACGCGTACGAGGCGGAGCTCGATGCGGCGTCTGAGCTGGAGGCGGAGGAGGCGGAGGAGGGCGAGGAGGGCGAGGAGGAGTGACTAGCGCGCGTCCTCCGCCCCCGTGCGCGTGTGTTGAGGTGGTGCGAGAGCCATTTGCGTGCGTGAGCGGTGCGGCCGGGTGTGTGAATGTGAACCGTGGGCCACTTGTGTTGAGGGATGGCAACCCATGTGGGTGCCTATGTGTTTCTTTCGAGCTAACGCACCTTGTTTCTATGCCGTGCTATTCACTTCCAAAAATCGACCCCCGGGACCCCGCGACCGACCTTATACCCATGATGCATGATGAACTGCCCCGAAACTCATTTAACAAACAACTCGCGCGCGCGTGAACAGGGCTCCAGGCCCCAAATTACGTGTGAGTGTTAGAGTTGTTTGGTATTGCTAAAAATCTCTCTCTCATTTACACAATTCGGGCAAATCTTTAATTCACGAGAGAGACTTGTGTGGCGCGTCTGGTGTCACTCTGTGATTCTGTGGGTGATCACCTCACACAGATAGCCTCACGGCATTGGCCGCGCCCCTGCGCGGCCTGGCGTCTGCGCCAGGCTGCGCTGGCACAACGGACAGGGTCACTTCTTTTTTCGACACTCTCCGCCCCGCTTGCAACGCGACAACGGCTTCATCATCTTCATCATCCTCGACATCCATCGCCGGTGCGGCGGCCGGCGAGGCCGCGGGGGCGGCGCCGGCGTTGACCAAGAGCGCTAGGAAGCGGCTCAAGGAGAAGGCGAGGAAGGGGCGCGCTGCAGAGGCGGCGGGCGAGCCGGAGGTGGCGCCATCGCCGGCGCCGCCGCCGGTGTTCAAGACGCTCAGGGAGAAGAAGGCGGCTCAGGCGTCAGCGGAGGGCTGGGCGGCGGAGGTGGCGAGGGCCGAGGAGCTCTACGAGGAGCTGCGCGAGCGCGCGCCCCAGCACTGCCGCCGTGGCGGCAAGTGGGCGCGCGAGAAGTTCGTGATGGCGGTGCAGGGAGAGTTCCCGCGCGCGCGAGGGGCAGGCGTTCCCAAGGGGACGATCCTGTGCCTCGGCAGGGTGCTCGACGCGCACGATGAGCAGGATGGATGACGCGGAGGGTGGGCACCGGGACTGGGAGGAGGACCCGCTCGGGTTCGACACCAACCCGATGCTGCTCCGCGCCATGTGCATGGCGTTCGAGTGAACGCCGTGCAGGCAGCCCGTGCCTTTTGGTGTACCGCGTTTGTACCGCGTCCTGTGCCCCCGAGTTCATTTAATAATACAGATAGCCTCACCCCTGCTCCTCCTCCTCCCCACCAAACGAGAGCCGAGCCACATCCACCGACGGCCGTGACGCAGCGGCGGTTCTCACGGCTCCTCCGCCGCCAATGGCAGCCCGGCCGGCCGGCCGCCTCCCCTTCTTCTTCCGCACCCCCGCGTGAGCGGCGCGAAAGGTGTGCTGTCCAGCGGCCGCCTCTTCGCTTTCAGTGTCATCAGTTTCGTCGCAGCCGGCGGACGCGTCGCAAGCCCCCAGCGCGGGTGTCGGCTCTGCCGCCGGCGCCCGCTCGGGCAGCGGGTCCGCCTGCAGCAGCGCGTGCCTCTCCGCCGGGCTCAGGCCGGCGAGAAGCTCCGCTCCGGAGGCGAGCATCGGCTCGGACGGATCGAAGCTGACCTCCTCGGTCACCCGCGTCACCACGCCGCCCGTGAAAGTCACGCGCTCGTGTCGCGCCTACAGGAAGCAAGGCCGGATGCAGCACCGCGGTGGGCGAGGAGGCGCACGCAGCCCCAACGGCGGGCGCGCCGCCGGAGCAGCGACTCGCCAGTGCCTCGGCTCACCCGCGCGCCGCTGCTTGTCGACCACTCTGTCGTTGAGGCGGCCGTTGCACAGCTCCTGCTCTGCAAAGAAATGGTTGTCCGACATTTCCTTAGCGGCCGCTAGCGCCTGCACGGCCTGCAGCAGGGTGAGGTTTACACTGCGCCGCTGGCAAGCTTGACTGTTCACAGAGCCTTGTTATTGACAAGAAAATACCCGTATGGCGCTGTGCGCTGGCCTTTGAGAGGTTGAGGTGCGAGCCCTGGAGGCCCTGGGGATGGGGGGGGACTACCCGCGGGCTTAGAAGGCCCGCGCGCAGGGGGGTGGGGCATTGAGACCGGTCATGAATGAGTGCGCGACACGCACGCATGTTGCGAGCAGCGTTGTTAATGTTTTGCGCATCGCCACTGACGGCGGCGCGCGAGAGCTGTTGCGAGTTCACAGACCTTGTTATTGACTTGAGCACTTGAGCACTGGATAGGGTCGGTTCCGCATGGTACGGGACCCCTCGATCGTCTCGCCCACCCTCACTGGTGTGTTCATTGGGGGGGGTCATAACAAACACGGTACAGGATTGAGGTGCACGCTGCAGAAGCAGTGTCGTCCCCCCTCTCCCCGACGGCGATGGCGGTGTGACCGATCGAGCTACAAGAGGAGCTTGTTCAGCAGGATCCGGACCGTCGGATGCACTACCTCACTGGGCCTGAGAACATCGCACGACCAGCCCCTCACCACTCCGGGTTTGCGTGGAGGCTTCGCGGAGGGAAGAAATCGAGCAGAGTACGGCGCATGTAGATGAGACGCTTTGCTGCTCCGCACGGCCTGTCTGGTGGGCGCCGGTGCTCTGCGGCACAGCACTCTGGCCATGTTGGTTGCGCCCCACCGCGTGTCCAGTAGAAGCGCGCACGGCTACTTCGTTTGTACTTATTATGTGTATCGCGCGCCTTGTATTAGAAAATGACAAACGAATATCGCTTCGTTCAGGCTCGGGGGGGGGGGGGGGCGAGAGCGTGATTTCTTGTGTGTGAAATGGCAAGGTGTGATTTCAAGAGCGTGAAAATGACGTGCCGAGCTTTGAGATATCATGACTCCATAATAACATGGCGGAATCCATGATATGATGCAAGCGGGGAAATCCTGATGTGCTGCGTGAATCTGCGCGAATCCTCTGCGAATCCCTGCGAATCCACCGCGAATCCTGCGCGAATCGGTGTAAGCGACCCTCCGTCCATAGCGACCCGATTTCACACGCTCCCAAATTTGGCTAAGCATTGGCTTCTCAGTGTGTTCTCAATCTCGTGCATCATGCAGGCATGCAGTCTAGCAGTCATGCTCAGCGCCGCGCGTGCATGGTGTACTGTACGGCTACGAGCAGGCGGACATCGCTTCCAGGCGAGGGAGGGGGGCGCACTTCTACTCACGCCCCCCGCCCCCCCGCGAGTGGGGTCGGGTTTTTGACGTCATGACGTACTCCGCGCGCGCGGCGATCGGAGCACCCCCTCGTCGGTTCACCCCTCGAACAGCGATGCAAGCACACAGGCGTGAGCGCGTGAAACGGCCCGTCGGCGAAGGCGACTCGCGCTGGCACGTGCACAGAGGGATGTTCACATACGCGGCTACACGTGTGGGCGCCTATCTAGGGGAACATCGCGCCCCATGCGTGGGCGTGTATGTCACGCGGTACGCGGCTGCGAGTGCAGCCGCCTATGTTGGCCAAGATAGGCGGCTGCACGTGTGGGCGCGAGTACCGCTATACGCGTCTGCACGTGTGGCCGCGTACCTTAGCTAAGATACGCGCGCACGGGCGTGGGTGGGTAAAAACGGGTCACTTTGCGGGGTTTGCCGCAAGAGAGGGGCTGGCTCCCAGCCCGAGAAGAGAGCTTCCGAGACCCACTATCCCATCTGTGCGCCCCACCCCGTCCGCTCCCTCCCGCTTGGCGCCCATCCCGCCCTCCGCCCTCGCCCCCCGCCCCTGTCCTGGCTGGCCTGGGTGGCATCTCCTCATCATCACGCGCCAGGCGGGAGGGAAGTGGACGGGGCCCTGAGCCGACCTAGCCCTAAACGGAATGGGGCGCCCAACACGTGCCCGGATTACTGTGCCTTCCCCGGGTGCAGCCTTTCGGTTCGTGAAGGGTCGGTGCGTGTCGTGACCCCCTGGAACACCCGTACCCCCGCACCATCTCCGTCGCTTGGTTCCATAAACCTCTGCCACCACCGGGAGGCGGCCAGGGCTTCATAGACTCGGTCGAGAGACCCCAGATTGGCATCCATGCCTCTCTGGACAGGGTGGCCCGCCACAAGGACCCCAGGAATTGCGACTCGCCGCTTTCCTCCCGCTGTGATTCTGTGTGAGCTCTGTGTCTTGATTTGCCAACAACATACCTAAAAACTACAAGACCACGCACGCATCATCCCGCGGCCTGGCGGTCGGCGGGATTGCAACCAGTCTTCGCGTGCCGCTTGTCGTTCGCTCGGGCGCCTTGGGCGTCGGGGTGGCGAGCAGGGGACGCAGCTCTGAGCGCCCAGCGACGCGTGCCGGATGGAGTCCGGCCGCGGGTGACTAGGGAAGTTCGCTCAAGATGTGTGCAGCCGCCTCGTTGGCTGAGTGTCTTGTCTTGTGGTTCTGTGTGTCGCTCCTGTGTGACCGTCATCGCCCGTCCTGCGTCCACCCATACCGCGTTGGTGTCCCAGTCGTTGGTCGGACTGTGTTTCGCCTTCCCATCAATCAATCAAAGGGTGTGTGTGAAGGCTGTGTGTGTGTGTGTGTGTAATACTCACTCACTGAAGGCTGACTAGCTTGAGCACTTGAGCACTGGATAGGGTCGATTCCGCATGGTACGGGACCCCTCGATCGTCTCGCCCACCCTCACTGGTGTGTTCATTGGGGGGGTCATAACAAACACGGTACAGGATCGAGGTGCACGCTGCAGTGTGCAGAAGCAGTGTCGTCCCCCCTCCCCCCGACGGCGATGGCGGTGAAAATATAAGGGTCGAGCAGGTTTCGAACTGGCGACCTACTGCTGACTAGCTGTACATAGTCGCGATTTGCCGGCGTGCGTATGAGCTCACTAGCTAGAGCTCACACTAGAGGCCGTCATCGCATTCGCAGTCTAGGTTGGCGTTGACTTGGGGGTGCAACAGACAACACGGAGTGGCAAGTATCAACACACACATGGAGCATGTACCGCACATGCTTTGGACCGAACCCCTGCAAGCGCGCCTAACCCTTCGCCGGCTCATAAAATGGCCTCGCAAGCGAAGCGGCGAGGAGGAGGGCGAGGCTGTGCCGGTCGCGGGTGGCTTCGAGGCGCATTCTATTCTCTCGCCACACGCGCCTTCCTAGACCGGTAAACCGGGGAAGGTTTTCCGTGCACAATTGTACGTACTCTCTTCTCTCTCAATTGTACGGACTTTAAATGCCGTGGGGCTCCTGTCGTTAGACGTGGAGACGCGAGGGTTGCCCCCCCTTGCCCCACCACCTCGTGTGTGTGGAGAAGTTTACCTTACTTACCTTACCTTACCTTACTCAGCCCAAGAACCATGTGGGGCGAGGAGCGACGCTGGCGCGGCGCGCCGTTTCCGTCCACAAAGTGGTGGGTCGAGGGGGGGGGGGCGACCCTCGCATCTCCACACCCGGACACGGGGACGGGCCGGAGCCCCAAGAGAGGAAGAGGGAGGAGAGCGAGGACTAGCATCGCCCTGCTCCTCGTTGCATCTGAAAGATGTAGCAGCACGCGACCGGGTCGATGGCTTGCTGGCGCAGCAGCTCGAGCACTTTGTCCTGGTCGCTGTCGTCGCCCGGGACCATCTTCACCCGGAACGGGGCGAAGCGATGCCGTGCGTGCACCACGTCGTGGAAGGATGAGACCAGCTGCAGCGCCTGCTTGGCGTCGGCGAGGCCCATCGTCGTGCTGAAGTGGAGCTCGATGTACAGCTGGCGCACCGCGCAGAGGGCTGCAGCCGTCTCCGGAGCGGCAAACTCGCGCCACTCGCAGCCTTCGCAGTCCTGGCCACACAGGGGGGGGGGGGGGGTCAACTGAAGGGACCGGGCTGCGGCTGGACGCGAAGCGGAAACGGGCGGCGCTCACGATTTTGA